CCTTAGCTTCATAAGTAGTCTTAGGACTGTACCTGACAACAATTTCTAAGAAAAAGTAGACACATTATATTAAAAATTTACTATCATCTTCCTCCATTAAACAGGTGTTTCCAACTCAGATCCTCTCAGGAATATATCTCTCTGTTTTAGAATATATCTCCATTTTTCTTATATCAACTTTTAAGTATATGTTTCAGTGAGTGGAGCTTTTGTATGGTCTGACTCAATGGAATGAATTCCATCACACTGCGAAAATAAGGCTGAAGTATTTTATGGTAGGTGTTGAAGAGGATCACCTGTGAACCATGGCTGAAGGCCATGCTGTAGGTGCTAAATTCCACAGGTATCTGACTCCATGATCAGCTTCACCTTCAAGCTGCAGTTAAAAAAAGCAGTGAAGATTATGGTATAATCTGAACTGACCTCTAAGCTAAATATACCTCCATAATACCACCATAAAAATGAAAATTATAGGTTAATTCAAGTTTTCCTGATTTGGGTCTGAAAAGTGGTTTTTTAATTGGGTGGTTGCTTTCCTATGTGTGTATATATATAAATATATAAATGTGCTTTCCTATGTGTGTATATATATAAATATATAAATATATAAATGTGCATCTTAACATTGGTCCTGCAAGCAAGCCTGTTCATGAAATTTGAGTATGGTCTTGAGTCCCCTGCAGCACTGTGATCTGGAAAGTACACTTAGGACACCACCAGGTACCCATTACACGTCTTGTGTGCAGCTTGCTCCTCAATCCATAATCCGTGCTAATTAATCTTCTTTTACTATTATGAACTGGAGCTCTGGAAATGTTGGATTTACGCTTGCCTTTGTAGTCATTTGTCCAGCCAGACTTCCACCTAGCCAGCCTCACGGGAAGATTTGCTTTATCTGGGGAAGAAAAACTGCATATGGTAAAATCCCACCAGAGATATGAATCTGGTATTTCTCTGTGTGCTGATTAATCACAGTTTATAATCTGAATTGTCAGGACCTTCAGCACAGGTTAGTCTTTTTGATGAGGCAAGATCAGCAGGGAGCAAAGGATGGCTTTTGCAGAGGGGAGAATGGGATTAATAGACAACACGAGAATGATGCTTTCCAAAGAAGGAGAAATGTTCGCTTCAAGGATGTCGGAAGGAGCCAGGATATGATGATGCAGCACCTCCTGCTAGATCCACTACACACACAGTATAATTTCCCCTCAGATGCCTGATGCTCCTACCACAATGTGTCTTGCTTAGTGGTTGGGTCCACTCATGTGACCACAGGGCTTGGCTGATTATCTCTACTCACACCAACATCAATTAGTAGCAATTTATAAACCCTTTTATAGCCCTGTTAGGGGGCTTTGCTGGAGGATTCTGAAGCCAGAGAGATCCTGCCTGCCACATACTAAAGGCCTGTGACAAAAAGAAAGTCTGTTCAAGACAATAGCTGAGGACAATAGCAACAGAAATTAATAAGAAACCTAAATATATTCACTGCTTTAAGCTAATTCAGTGAAGCACATGAAGAATACATTTAGCTACAGTGTAGTCGTTTTTCCCTGAAACAGATCACAGTCAAGGGGTACCCACAATTACTGGTGGAAGTGTCAGGGCATGAAAAAAGGTGCCATGTCATAGGGAAGCTCATACCAATATCACATCTGAATGAAAACTCACTATTCTTCCTCTTAGGACTGTTACCCAAAAATGAAGTGGATGAACCCTTCCTGTCAGTGATGTTTTATGTGGCTGAAGGATAATGACATCCCCAGTTTACCGAAAGGTTTCTCACCTATGTCAGCTCTGAATTAATTCCACTGGGAGTACTGATGCCCCTTCCTCATTGGCTTTCCAGCTCCTTCCTCAGTGTATCCAGTCAGGACGAAGGAATGGAACTGTGGTTTGATAGTTTGGGGTCTTAGGGCTGCCATTTCTTCTTGTGGTCACCCCAACCAATATAATTGATGCTTATTAGCTTTTCTGTAGTTATCATGATGCAAAATCTGTAGCCCACTTGAAAACTGCAGCATTCTCTAGAAACTTGATAATTACATATCAGACCTGAAACTACCACCTATCATGTCCAACATTCTTTTCCAGCACGTGATTCTGCTGCAATGTCTCTGGGAACACATCCTTACTGAGTAACTGGCAGGGTACTTGCTAACAGGGGTGCAGAGTGGTGTTGACATTACTAATGATCTTCCTTAATCTCCCCTTTGCTTAAAATGCTGGCGTGCTATGACTCAACACCCAACACCAGCACCACTCAAGTCCAGTTGACATCACGTGTACCCTCTCCTCTCCCCACTCAGGACAGCCAAACCAACTGGACTGGATTCCAAACTTGAAACACCAGCTTAGCTATTTCTCAAAGGAAAACAGTTGTCCTTAAAGTCATACAGAAACTTCAGCAACTTTTTGCACACACACAGGTAACTCCAAAAATGAAGATCTATAAACTGAATCATAATATTTTTCAGGAAGAATTTTTTATTAATAAAAAATTATTGTTGACTCTTTAAAGATTAACTGGGTTATTGAAGTCCTTTTATTATCATAATAAGGCAAGAGGCTGAAACTTCTTTTTCAGAGGACTTCAGCAGTCTAAGTAGATGTATTCTTGTTCATTATTTCCCATTTAGTATATAACACAATTTTTTTTCTATCAAATAGCTCAAAAATTGATATAAGGCAAGCATTTTATCATTAATTATCTCAATTCTATATTATAAATCTTTTGAGAAACTGTGCTTTTGCATTTACACTAGTGATTAATATTTTCATGCCTGCCCAGGTCAGTGTTAGTAGGGTTTGCCTTTCTAGATGGCAGAGCAAGAGAACATTTCCATACACAATAAAGTTCCACACAAACATGAAACCAGTAGTTCACTACCAAGTAATCTGCCTTGAGGATGTAAATATATGGTATCTCTACAAAAAAAAGTGAAGGCATTTATTCACCTCACTTTACTTTATGTACCTTAAACAAAATCACTTATGTAATGTCTGATATCTTTCATTAGAAGAATTCAAACTCTCCCCTCTGACTAAAGAAAAACAGAAGGAGTTTAGCTTCCCAATTTGGACACTTCTTTCAGTGATGGAAAAAAAAATAAATAAAAAGCACCAACCTCTTACTCCTTCATGTTCCTAAATAAAATTTCTGCCTTAGTGCAATTATGAGCTTTGTGCCTTTTATTTCATAGAATCACAGGTTTCCTCCACATATCTTGTGCCTTAGCTAATGACTTTCATCATCCTTCATTTTTAGGTAAGCCTTACTGCCCATTGCCTCAATTAGAGCCTAATATATATATATATTAAATCAGGACATTTCTTGGCATTTGTTCTGAGGATTATTTAACAGAATGCCTTAATTCAAGAAAAAAAAAAAAAAAAGAAGTACCTTTCAAACCATTTCTGAAATTATTATTTCAGAATATAGATCAGAAATTATTTCAGAAAAGTATTAAAAAGAATTTTGTTTTTATTTAATCTAAAAATATTTTTTCTATGTCTTAAGGTAAACTTGTAATTTCTACTCCCTCTACAGTCTGTCAGGAACAGTACATCTCTCAGTGGTGTGCTTTAAATAAGTTACATTCTGGATATGACTGATTCTCTGATTTGGTTATCAAGGGAATCTATATAGCTAGGTTAATATTAAAATGCCTACATTTGGGTTAGATAAATCGCATCCATAGAAGTTAATGAAAGAACAACTTGATTTTTCAAAACTTCAAGGCAGCATGATCAGATGTGTGTTAACCTCTGTTGAACACTGTATTTCAAAATCCTTTGTGTTTCTCTCTCAGTAGCAGACAAAAGAATTAAAAGTGATCATTGAAAAAATCCTACTATTTACTAGAAAATCTCCTTAATAAATAGAGTAAATGGAAAATTTTTGAATTGAATTGAAGTGATACATTTATTTTGAATTTATTATCTGAAGTTTGCAGCCAGTTTTGACTTGCTCCCACCCACAGGTTTAAGATACTTCAGGGACACAAAGCCCAACTGAAACTCACAGAATTACTTCAAAAAAAGTAGCATTTGCAATTTTTCTCATGCAAATAAAAGACTACAGAGATAACAAACCACGTGTTTGTTTGCTCAGTGTTCTTTTGCAATAATGGCTTATCTGAGAAAAAAGAGGCTGAAGATTATAAAGTCCTAGAATTCCTAAAAGTAGGTGAGATGGAGGCAGCTGGGCAGTTTCACTTTGGCTGGAGTATAACTTGGGCACCAATTTTATCACTGGAGGCATAGACTTTGTGCACCCTTTGGAGTCTACAGGATCATGGAGGTTTAATAGCAGACCACAGAACTTTATAATGATGACCATTTCCACACAAAACAAAGCAGTACTAAAAGTACAGCTATTCAGGTGCCACATGGTCTGAAGAACGACTGATGTGGTTTCTTCCAGCACTGTAATGTCCTGGAGGCTGCAGGCAGTTTTTCCAAGGCCAAAGGACAAAGCTGACAATGGCAGCACCTGCAGCATATCAGTGTTGCTTTTCTGTCAGTGCCTGGAGCCCTCCTCAGAATACCTCAGCCATAGCCTGGGCTATGTTGAGTGTTGTTGAGGTGAGATCCCTGCTGCTGCCGTCCCTTCCTTACCCAAAGGAATTGGGCTGGGAAAGGGAAGCTGACAGCTAGTAAGAAACACAGACACAGAAAGTTTGATAGCACAACTGTACAATCAGAATTGCAGCCCCTCAACCATTTGGAGACATGTGCATATGTCATGGACAGCACAGATCTGGACATCTTCTGATTAGATTGATTCCTCTTAAACGTCTGCTGGTGTTCCCTAGACCCCACAGATAGGACAGAGCATTGTTCACAGTCGCTAGTCTGGTGACTCCCTGTCAGGGTCATGGCTGGGAAGAGGGAAGGGAGACAAAGACTTGTGCGTCTGAGTCAGCCTTTTTGCCCAGCCCACACCTTTCCCGATAAAAGCCCTGCAGCCACAATCACCTGTGTCACAAACCTTCACAATGTGGCCCTGCTTTGGCATACACGTTCTTCTTGTAGTGACTGTCACCCTGAGTCCTGTGACTGCTGAGGCACAGAGTGAAAATGATGTCACTGGAGAAGATGTCTATCCCCCGCTTTGGGACCTGGCCCCTGGAAACCTGCTGGATTTCCCAGTGAAGGACAACAAAATTGTCATCAATGCTTGGAACTATCAAGACCGACTGGGAGTGTATAAGAGCTTGCTAAATGCTTCAGCCAAATATTTTGCTGCCTTTGGACCCCAAAACAGTGGCAATATTCTCTGGGGATTACCATTGCAGCATGGGTGGCAATTTCGTACAGGTATGAACTATTTGCTTAAGATGCTGGATTAGCAAAGTGTTTTCCAGACCTGCTCAGAGGCTTCCTTTCCAAGGTTTCTGCCTCACCAGCCTCGTATAGCCTCAGATGGTGTAAACTTTGACAGAGATGCCAATTTGTAAACAAAATGCTGAGTGAACACCCTTACCTTGCTGAGCAATAGCTATTAATATTCCTTATAGGAATAGGTCAGAATCCAGATTTGTGGTATAGATGGGCAATATTTCAGCTAATTAAAAATCTCTGGAAAGGCATTCCCAGCTGCTTCAGTTTATGTAGATAGATTTCAGGGCATGCATTCTACAGTGCTGTTCTTAAATTATTAACTAATAGGCTTTTATTTCTGCTAATCTTACAAGCTTCTAGAGGTGGTTTGAGTTAAATTTCCAAGACAGATATATGAATGTCCACATCTCCCTCTGAGAACTTATTTCTGTTTATTCTTCATGATCAGCTTAGAAATAGCCTCCTTATTTTCTAAATATGTTTTTTACAAAAATGAAGTTTTTTCTGTTTGTTGAGGGTTTTTTTTTTGTTTGCTTGTTTGTGGGATTTCTTTGGTTAATCAGGTTTTTTTGTTTTAAATGATTGTTGCAATGGACAATCTTTTGCAACATTTGTCTTCTTTTTCTTTTTAGCCTTTATCCTTCCCATTCATTACTTTTGCGCACCAGTGATCTATTGCTGCCTGTTTTTTGACAGTCTCTGTTGAAGTAAAATTTTTAAAAATGGAATCTTTCTGGTAATATTAAAAATATAATCTTAATTTTTAAAAAAAGGGTTGAACTGCAGTCCTCATCATTGCAAGTTCATGTTCTCTTTGCTTGGCTACTGAAAGATATACGTTTGAGTATCTAGCATGCCCCAAAGCACAAGATCTGCCCAGTCAGCTAGGGAGAATAATTAGGATAATTTGTATGCACGTTGTTCATGATTGTCTCTTCTTCCTGAGTAAAAATATCAGAAAATTTGGTTTGGTAATGAGGTTTAGTTCTAGTCTGACAGAAATGACACTGCCATTATTCAGCTGACTTGCCAGAGAGCAAATGCTCTGCAAGGCACAGTTTGGGAGCTTCTGGAATAGCTCAAGCCATTGCACAAGGCCATGGTAATTGCATGTCATGCACTTAAAGCAGATTTCCTGACACTCTGCATGACAACACTTAATGTACATGCATGGTGTTCTTTTAGGACTTAGGCCATTTCTTCATGCCACGTGCTTAAAGTAAAATATTCTGTCATGAATAATTGTGAAATGTCTTGCATGTTTTGTAGAGTACAGATGCTTGCAAACTTTGCTAATTAGTTACAACAATGCTTGCATGCTTAGCTTCACAGTATGGCCACGATTGTCTGCATGATTAAACTGGAAGTGATTCTGTATCATACAACCCAATTAGGTGAGACAATTACTAACACATTTAGTTTGAGCTGTTTTGCTCGTTGAGCAGCTCTCCTAAACTAGCAGTCCTACATCTATTAAAAGCAACGCTTCAGCTACACACGTGTTCGTGTGTGTATGTATATTTATGTCTCAGTAAAAATATTGTGATGTCCCGATTTCAAACAGTTCAGTAAATTCACAGAATACATTTACAGTGAGGGATAACTCCAACTGTAAAATACAATCAAATTACTATGCACTGAGAAACTCAACTACTCTAGGAACAGTAGTTTATGAAGCAAAGCAACAGTAATTATTTTGCTTCTCCAACCAAAAGTCTGTGTGCTTTATTCCTTTATATTTTTTTTTCTCAGTGGGATTTCCTGTGCAAAAAGTTTGAGAAGTATTTGTTGTATTATTTAATTTTATTCACTCAGGTAGGTTAGCAGATCATTCTGGTGTGACTTCCTGTGGCTATGAAAATGGCGAGCTCCTGTGCCAATCTGTAAGAAGCTGGTGGTCCTGTAAGTATATGCTGTCACACTGTTCTTCTTCATAATAAATTAGTATCCTAGAAGGGCATCTCAAAATATTTCTTCCCTTTAGATGTACATTATCATTTCAGTGCTGTGTAATTCTCCATCACAATCTTGCATCAAGACACCTAAGTGTGAGTGGGTGAATGAAAATTAATGTATTTTGAATGCTTACTTGAGAAAGGAGAAAAACCCCAAATAAAGAAGCTTGCAGCCTTAAAAATATTTACACTGCAAATATTTATGTGAAAATGTGTGGGAAACACTGTGACAGGTATATATATTTGTAGATATTTGTAGATATTTGCAGTTTACCATTAGTCCAGAACAGTTTTCTTCAGTTTAGATGTTTGCACTCCAAACTAAAACTCTGTGAGAAAATGTCAAGCAGAAATCTTTGTGGTTCTTATACCATCCATGGTTCTTTTTCCCATAGCATATTTTCCCTCCATCACTTCTGCCCCTTGGTCCCTCAGCTTCTCTGATGTCCTGGTGTAAGTTCCCCTTTTTCCAAGACCTGTCAGCAGGTTTGAGCAAACGGCTCTGTCCCTTCCCTGCCACAGGAAAGTTTTTCCTTCAGTGGCCATTTGGATTAGGCTTCTGGCTGTGAATTAGCAGTTAAAAGTATGTATCTTCAAGTGAACAAAGACATAGGCATAGATAAAATCTAAAAAGTAAATCCAGGGTAAAACTGTCTGTGATATGAGCATCACAGTCATCCAGCTTTGGTTTTCCCACTTTGTGGATAGCACTAGCTGCTGTGTGGGATGGTGTCTCACACAGTGTCAAGTAACAAGAGTCACTGCATGGCCCTTTGCAAACAGGGGACCTTCCTGGAATAGAAACCAACACCTTTGTTTCTTAGTGTTTGAATTCCTGCTCTTCATTTACTTCTAAATATTGCATGTTTGCTTGATATCCATTTTGTTGCCTCCAGAAAATGTATGAACTCAGCTTTGATTTACCCTGTTGTAGCAAGAACATGCCAAGAGTCTTTGAGATGGCATTTGGAAATGTCTCTTAGTGTTCTGAGAATATGAATGCTTTCAGCTGGCCTTCAGAGCAGCCCTCTGGCACAAGTAGTCACATGAAACCAGGAATGAGTTTAAACCAGAAACTCACATTTAATATGCCTCAGGTGAATGTGATACTACTTGCTTAAGATCATTAATCTTATTTTGCCTAGAATAATATTCAGTATAGTCCTGTCCTGCATTGCTTTCTGCCCTCTAAGACACTGAAGCAGGTAGAAATATATAATATAGTCAAGAACACTTAAGAGAATACAAGCACTTTGTGATGTGAGATCAAAGTTTCAGTACTTCTCATGCCAACAGTGAACAAGGAGCAGGAGCCAGATCAGCAATGAGTCTCAGTGAAACACTTGTCTCATCACTTCAAAGTGATGATATGAATACTGTTGTCTCATCACTCATCAGAGTTTTCCTTTGATCTTCTGACTGGCCATGCATTTCCTCCTGAATTCCCAGCCAGGTCCACATTCAGGAGGCGTGTCACATGAGACAAGGGGTTTCTCTTTATATATAAACTCTTTTATTTCTTTTATTCAGCACTTCCAGGGAAGTCAAAACCTTTGTACCTGACCAGCCTGTCAGTGTCCCATTATGGGGACCCCACGGAGCAGTCCACTCTATCAGAGCATGGTTTCACCAACCTATTTGGGGTCAATGTTCCCACTTGGAGCTGGTAGATATTTCCATTTTTGTCAAGTATGTTATCTTCTGCTGGCAGCTCCTCCCTTAGTGCCCTTGAAGGACTCACAGTAAACAGTCTACTGAATAACACACTTTATTAACAAACACATTGATTGTCAAACACTGTGACAGGTTAAGGTTCAAAGATTACTATTGATAGTAACTCATTGCAAAAATGAATTTGAAGCAATATATTGACCAATTCTAATCACCAATTAAAGCTAGCTAGAGAGAATAATTTAGCTTGCACAGAATGAGGTTCTTGCCCAATAGACATCCCTATGGGGAAGAAGACAGGTTCAGCCTGTTGACTGGTCCCAGAAGTTGTGATGGAGTATTCTCTGACTTCCCTCCCCACTTTAACTATATTTATATTACTTCCTTTGAGGGAAGAGAAAAGGTAAAGTTACAGTTGGTGACATTTCATGTTGATGTGGTGCTTGAATCATTAGTATACGTAGAGTGTGAAAAGCAAGATGCATTTTTGAGCCAATGAAGCAAAGGCCAGCTTCTGGTTACTCTCTGGTTCATTCCTTTGGCTTAGTTCCTGCTAGCTGCATGTTTTCAGTGGAGCATAATCACAACACCGCTGTGTTGCTCCATCCTTTGTTTCATATCTGCATCAACTTTGACAGACCATGACTGCAGCACCTCCATGCTGCTCCATCCTTTTCTTCATCTCATGCTTACAGCAATACACTGAGTTCCCTCAGTATTCCGGCTCCTAAGGTGTGCAGACCCAGTCCCTAGCGAACTATAGCCAACACACATACTCCTTCTGTGTCAACTCTGTTTTGTGATCTTCTCCCATAAGGTGGAGCAATGGCTTCCCATTAGGAGGACACTGATACATGGTAGGTGTTCAGGTTTTGATGATTTTGGTCCTCACTGCTGGAATTTAGCACAAAATACCAGCGCAGTCCATAGCCCTGACACCAAGTATGAGCAAATGACTTCTCAGCATAACAGCTCAGAGGAACCCACCCAAGAGGGAGAACAACTGATCCCCAGGCTTTTCTTCACTCAAAGCTATTAAACTTCATTTCTACTAAGCAGACACATTTAAGAGGAGAACTTTAAATCCTCCTTCCAAGAGAGGAATATCAAATAGCCCTATGGGCACTCTTTACTGGAGATAAGATTTAGCTCCAGTGAGAAATGAGCCTGAGTTTCCTACATTCTGGATCTGACTGCTACAACTTATGGATCAGACCAAAGAAAGCCATCATCATAAAATAAATCTAAAAAGATAATTGATGGTAATGAGATAATATCCAAGCAATTTTCAATAAGTAAAATATTTTTAGAATCAAAATTATTATTTTCTAGTAAAATATCACATTTTCCTTTCTCATAGGTCTAGGATTCATAGAAGAGGGGGTTTTAATGGTGGAAATACTTGTGGAGTATCCCTTAGTCTTTCTATACTTAGTTTGCAGTTAATATTTGAGAGACTTTTCTTGTCCTGTCCAAGACAGCCTACAAATTTCTAATTTTTTCCATTACTTTTTTTTTTCCTTTTCTGCAAAGTAATGCACAGCATAAGCTCATACAAGGCTCTTAAAGGACAATGCATAAATGAAAACTACAAATCATATCTAAATCAATACAAATGTCATCATTATTACATTTCAGTACATATATTCCACTGCTGAACACAGTTGCATTCATGGTAATTTGTAGCAGTTACATTTGGTGTGGGAGACAGTTAATTTTCTTATGTGGGCATTTTTCATTTGCTTGTGATTAACACCTCCTGCCTTTTAATTATTGTTACAGGTATGAATTACTATCTGGCTATTATACCCTTTCTGGGGGCAGTGGAGGCTGGCCTCTTTGGGCAGCTGCCGTATGAAATAGAAATATTGCCACCAGAGGAGCAAAAAGTTGATTTCTGTTACAGCGTTAAAGACTGCTGGTCTCGCATGCCCAAGCTCATGGATGAATGGAAGACCTTTTTTGAAGTAAATATTTTTGTAAAAAATATTTTTAGAAATGATACCAAAATATTAGCTTTAAAAACTATTATTACTGTAATCTTTAAGATTCAGAGAGCTTAGTTTGTTTTTGATAGCAGCTTCATATAAAAACAACAAGCAGGGGAAATGGAAAGCATAGCATGTAGTGAGTCAGAGGTAAGTAGGATGGGATCTTTACAAGTTACAGAATTTTTTTCTTCCTTTGACACAGATCTGTATTTTGGCCTCTGTTCCAAGACACTGTTTTGTATTCAATTATATTTGTATTCTTGCAATACTGTTTATGTTAGCAATGCAAAAAAAGATGGAACATTGCCCTCAAGAAGTGGTCCTTAGTTGGTTTTATAAGGTTCATTTATTTCTTTAAACATCTAAAAACTTGAAAATGCTGAAACATCATTCATAAGTGCACCTACTTACGCAAGTAGATATTCTCTTTCCTCCTCACTCAGCTGTTCTCTAATCCCAAAGATAACACTATTTCTTACTTCAGAGATTTAATAGCTATTTTTTATAGCTAGACCACCGCAGTTGACATTTTTTATTGGTAGTCAAATAACTGATAATGATCAGAAATGTTAAGCTGTAAGTCACTCTTCTGAGTGAAAGTAGACGGTTTAAGAGTAAAACTGGATTTGCCTTCATAAGATCATTTTTCCCATGCATCATGTTTCAGAAGTTATTGTAAAATATCTCCTTCACAAATAACCATAATGATAGCAAAATAATTTTCTTATTTTTCTGAAAATCTTTGTAAAGTTGTGGTCAAAAGAGTATAGACAAGTTTTCAAGGAGTCCCTATTTCAGTGCTGAATCTTGTGTGAATACACTCTGATACAAAAGTCCACTGAATTTTTGTAACCAAATACTGAAATTATGTGGATAAAACCCTTGAAGTGTTGAAGTCGAAGAACAGCAACTACCATCAACTCTTCAAATATAATTTCCTTTAACTGTCAAACATCATTTTGTGACGTATGTGCTTATATAAAAAAATAACAATTTGGTTTAAACCTCCTCTCTCATTCTCTGCCCTTTTTGTCCCCTGTTGCTGCAGTATCTGTTATCTACAGAACACACAGCTGTGAGTTCTGACAGCTTCTCCTCCTTCAAACTGGATGATGCCCTTGGGCTCATGTGGAAGGCACACACCACCTCCATTGCTTACGCACTGCCCAGATTCCAGGACCGGTAAGGGGAATAGAGAAGTGTCCATGGAGGACCTTTCCACCTCTTTGGAAGGATGGTATCCTAACAAAGTCTACACAAGCTTTCATACCTTAGGTGTCTACTCTTTAGGCTCTGCTCATCCTTCCACTCTCTCAGAGTGTGGGATGACCAGTGAGAGATGGCTGCGCAAACTGTGATGACCAGCCAGGCTCTGGGCTTAGAATGAGATGCTGGTTCACCTCTGGGAGCCAGGACCTGATTCAGGTTTAATCTGGGCAGAGGCAGAGTTGCCAGGAGAAATTAGGTATAAAGTACTTAAGGAGGCACTGAGGCCACTCAGGATTTTATACTGAACAAAAACTTTTGGAATAAACAGCTAGTGTGTTCTACAGGGGAATTCAATTATCTGCCACATTTTTTATTTTCTTCTCTTTCAGCTTAAAATATCTCTCTGATCCAGAAGCAAATTTTGGTGAAGACTGGGCTGATGCTGTAGATTTCATTGCTGCCACACACTTCAGTACAGACTTACTGACCACAAACAACTTCCAGTCCTTCCTGCCCCAGAGGATGCTTGTTGAAGGGGATGTCCTCCCATCCATTAGTGACTTCTCTCCACAGCAAAATAAGGTCCTGGTGTCACTGAGAATTCTTCACAAAGCAAATAAACTAACAGGTATGAGCCTGGCCTACAGATGTCTGTTGTCCATAAATATTTAATACTCTATTCTCTCTACATACCTTTTTTCATATGAATACAGTGAATGTTTGATATAAAGTGGTATAAACAGATCTTAGAGACTAACAGTAAAACAATTAAAAACACAACCATAAGCAAACAACACACCAGACAGAAAATGCTAGTGGGATAACACTGACAATGAGGGATTTCAGTGAGAAAAAAAGCATTTTGGAAGCAGATGCTCTTACTCTTTCCTTTCCCAGTTTTCAAAGGAACTTTAAAAAAAGAGATATTTTTGTGTTTCACCAGTCAAATCCGAAACCATTACAGCTGTAAATGAAATTATTAGACGAGTTAAAAAAAAAAAAAAAAAAGGAAAATTATCATGAGCACCAGTTTGCAAGTGTTTTGGTTTTAGATTTTGGTTTTATCTCAGTCTTTGATTTAACAGAGATCTGTCTCAGGAAAACGATATCCTTAGACAATGCTGGCTTCATCACATTCACCAAAATAAGTCGTGCATCACCATCCAGTGGTGTGACTCAGAATTACACGCTTCTGAGTGTAATTCAGTTCTTTCATAGATACTGCTGGGCTGGCTATTTTTGTTTGAACTTTATGAAGCAAAGTTATTTTGAATCTTTAAATGAAGATAGAATGGAAAAATACATTGAAAAATTAACATGCCTATCTATGGCATTTGTGATCCTCTTCTTCTATCTGTACATTTCACTGAAAATTCTCTTACCAGTTGTATTGAAAGCTGAAAAAGATGTGAAATAAAGCTATTCAGTGCTACAAAAGAGCATCTTCCCATCACAGAATGCTTCCCTTTCGTTTTTCACATAGCATTATTCTTTGTAATCTGAGTAAGGGTCTGAACAGATCTATCTCCTGCCTGGCAGTCTATTGACACAGTTCAGGAGGAGCGCACCAAGGAAAAGCATGACCAGAAGGACAGGGAGGAGGGAGGAGCACATCAGGTGAGGACAGCACTACAGGGAGAGAGGAAAGGATGTATGGATGCAATCCGCTGTAAATTGAAGGAAAGAGGGAGAGAGATGAAGTTTCATATAGGTGCAGCCATAATGAATTCCATAGCTGAAACCCCTTGCTTTGCAGGAGAGAGATTTCCCTGACTTTGCTCTAAGTGATGAGCTTTGAATTCAGCTGAGAATTAAATGCCAGCTAATTCAGCCTGGTAACTGATTTGCAGATCAGAAAAATGAGTTTTAAAATAAATTTGACTGTGTCTAAATCCAAAGCCTCATCAGGGACCTGAAAGACCTTATCTTAGTGCTACAAAATAGAGATTACTAAATATATTGGTTTTGTAGATGCTTTTAAATACATCCTGTGAGACACAGGGTTCTCTACTGGTACTGCAAACTTCAACAGCGGACAGAAAGTTGTACTACCTCCTAGGATGGGACACTGTGTAACCCAGAGTGAGACTTGATTTCTTGATTCAGAGTTTGATTAATCTTTATTTTCGTTTAGTTGCCCCTGCTAGTCTAGCAGGAGCTGTATTGAGAGAGTGTTGTGCTGCTACTAAAGCTTTTCTACTCACGGACTGTCAGATCAACTTTTTATGCTCTGCCCTTCGCTGATACCCAAAGGAAGAACAGGAGGAGAAAAAATTCTTCTTAGTTTTCCACTAGACTTTTTTACCCTCACATTTCCCTTCTACCCACTCTAAAAATGAGCACTGAGTGGAGTGAGGAGTAAGCAGACACTGTCCTGCAAACTGGCGCTAGTGCTAGGCTGGCTTGGCCAAGCCACACTCCCTAGAGAGCCACTGCTTATCCCCTGGACAAAAGTACTAGGATCATTTGCTTCTTTAGCTTGAGTTCTTAGCTGGCAGAAAGTGAACGCTTTGTTTTAGAGTGAAAACGAAGACAGGCCTGATTATAACTCCCAGGCTACTGCTCCATAAACCACGGAGCTACGTGTCGGAGCAGACAAAGACCTTCCCTTAAGTCTTCCATCATTTCGATCTGCAACACCGGTGACAAGGGAACAATCCCCCTTGTCTGTCGATACAGAGGGCTCCCAGCCGAATGAATGGTGTGCGTCTCCATACACATTTGTAGGCAATTATCACCTCATGGTCGGTCTCCAGCTTTGTCTACATTTCACTGTCCCCAGGAGAGTGTCGAGCGCTTGTTGCCAGACTCACGCTTCGTCCCTGCCATGCCGAGAGCTGTGTGCGCTCCATACTAATTTGACAATGTCATGCTGTGTTTTTTTCCAAGGAGGATTGCTGCTGAAGATCTGGAAAAAGGCTATGTCCACCGAAGCAGGAAGAAAACTGGGCCGAAAACTGATTGAAAGCTTGGCTTCGAGCCAGGAGCTCGAACTACTTGACCTAGTAGGAATTCAGAATTATTTTGAAGTATTATTTGAAGATTCCCAGTTCCTTGAGAATGAGTGATTCCAACATGGATTGATTTAATTTTTTAGCAAACGTGTCTGGTAATCTGGCTTTGGCAATTTCTTCCAGCAGGATTTCCTGAGTAGCCTTTCTTGCGCGTCTTTCTCTCATATGGAATCGATATTTTTAACCTTAATTTTCCTAATTATCTCATTTTCTTAACTCAAGTCCTTATAAATAAAAAGCCTTACAGAAAAATCTGACTTTACTACTTTTTGTGACTTTATAAGATATGTATCATAATTGGAGACAAAATTAAAAACAGGCAAAATATATTCTGTTTCAGACTGGGGTTTTTTTTCCTCTGTAGGCAGGGATTCCACTAGATATGTAATTACTTGGGTCCTTGATGGTCTAAAAGATGATCATGAGAAACCTTGTTTTGAAGTTCTGATCCAAAAGCAATGCCTTGACTGTTTCCCAACAAAGCTGTTATTTTGCAGAGCAGCTGCAATCAAACTGGAAGCTTTCTGTTTTTTCAGATTAAACACTTGAGTACAGATAGAGTCCCTTGCTATGCTGCTTTGCAACAAGTAAATGCTTCACGTGGTAGAGCAGAGCCAGTCCAGAGCAGTCCTGAAGCAAATTAGCTTACTCCGTACCAGCTTTTACATGACAGCAGAGAATTATTGTATTTGATTATTGTAATTTATGTGATTATGTATCCTGTACAACCACAGGTTGCTTTTCCATTCCACCATGTCTAATCCACTTGTTGCAGTGTGTCATATGTTGGATTTGATTCCTGAGGAAGAGATGTATTTGCAGTGTTTGTACTCCTAGTGCCTGGAACACTCAGACCCAATCTTTGGGATTATAACCTACATTTGAAATCAGTTATATCTTGAAAACAGGGGTTGTGGGGAGGTGGGTGAGGGGTTCCGCAGGCAGACAGTTCCGCAGGGCTTGAAGTTTCTTGGGAAAGAAGGAAATTAATGAAATGTCTTTGCCCACAGCAGTGGGTTTGGAACTAGATCACCTTTAGGGTTCATTCCAATCCAAACCCTTCCAGTTCTATGAAGTTCTATGAAAAGAAAATTATTTCTTTCCATTGTGTTTTCCTGGTTTGATTTTTCCTTTCTTCCCAAACTTACATGATATTTGCACTGTAAATTAAGAAATAATTATCATCACATTGAGCAGCTAAACACCATTCTGTCCTTTAATGTCCCAGGACAAAGGTGTTAATTATTCATTGTCATTTAATGGATAAACTCTTAATGTACCATCATTAACTAACAATTTTCAAAGGAAATACATTAATGAGGTATAAGAAAATGTGGGAGTTTTTACTTTAATTACCTGGTTCATAGATCACAGTAATTAGTTTCCAGCTTTAGATATAATCCAAAAGTAATCACCACAGCTGCCAGCTGCTAAAATATTAAGTTAGTTGTGCTCCAGAAAAGTTTTAAAAATTTTTTTGACCTTTTATGTGGTTGACTTAGATTTAACTTAAGGTGTGCTTTGAGAATAGAAAAAGAGCCATTAATACAAACTTGTAAAATGCAAACCGCTGCATTTGAGGGAATATTTATAAAGCACATTTTTAAAAAACAAATAACTCCTTACCTGAATTCAAGAAACATTAGGAAATAGTTCAGAATTTTGAGAAAGAGTCATCTTTCTTAATACAACATCAAGCATTTATGTATTTCGTACACTTTGTCCTGTTCCAGCAAGACAACCAGTCAGATAAAGACTTTAGAAATTGGTCAGACATTGCTCTTTGGAAGCTGAGGAATGCATAAACGTTTAGACAAAATATGGAATGGGGGACTCTTACAAGTAGACTAGAGCCAGTTATCTTGGAATAGAATAGATGCATACTTGCAGGAAAACTTCTGAGTATCAGAAATTAAACAGAGAGAAAAGCATCAAGAGAAACCTGTAGAGGTGTGATAGGATGTCTGTGGAGTGAAATGGGAGAGCACTGAAGGAGCTTACTTGCTAATAAGAGCTAGCAAAAGCTGACGACTACCTAAGCAGGGGTTTGCTGACAAGAAGGGCTCACAAAGCATATGCTCATATGCAAAATGCTCAGCATTAATCTGGGGTTTGCAGCTCTGTCCTCATGCCTTTTACATATGTGGTCTCTCTACTGAAGAATGCCTGGCATTAATTAGGGCTTGTTCCTATTTGACAGAGGTGGTGTTTAGAAAAAACAAAGCCGCAGCTGGCTTCAGAAAGCCAGGGTGAGGGGGTGGGAGGTAAACTTCTGTACAGGCTTGCAAATAGCAAGCCTAAGGGGACTGGGACAAATAACATTTAGGAGTGAAGAAGGGAAGTTTAGAACTGAAATGTGGTACATGATAAAGGAAGAACTTGGGAGAACAAAAACACACCAGAAAAGAGCCTGTCCATCTTCAAAACTCAGACAATAGTGTTGAATACTATGCAGTCCCCACACCACAGCTCATTTTAGGCAGGTCAGCTCCTTATTTCTGAGCACTGTGCAGTTTTCAGTGCCTTTGCTACAGGAGTGATCACATTTCTGAGGAATGGTCAGAAGTGAGGTTCTTGTCCTTGTCCAGAGATTTGCAACTGGGCATATAGCTGCTGTGCCTTACCAAATACTATCCAAAATTAACATCACAGAAAAATGTAAGGGCTGACCTCTTCACCTATCCTTCCATAAGGGGAATGGCAACCTTGTTCTTCTCTAGGAAAGGTACCTGTGCCTTCACAGAATGGCAGATGACAGGTGTCAATAGGCACTTCTTTAGCTTTCTTAGACATCAAGACGTGGAGCTTACAGGGAAAACACTCAAGGAAGTAATTGGTAAAGATGCCAAAATACTCTTTATCCTTTCAAGTAGGAATTGGTCTTCTAAGTTTTCTCTTCCCTATGATCCCTAATCTGTGGAAAATTGGGAGTGCCTTTCCAGCCTATGCTCTCTAATGAATAATAAAGTGCTTTTTTTTCTGGTGGGAAAACCACACCTAGCAGGTGTGGAGGGAAGAGCAAAAACATTCTTGCCCAAGGCAGCCTCTAATGTGGCAGATAGCAGATTCTTCTGCTGGGAAGTAGAAGATGTAGATTTGGACTCTGAAAGAGAGAAAACAAAGCTAACCTAATATAAGTACTCTGACTCTTGTGTACAATGTTAAAACCCCTCTGCATTTCCCAAATCCAAATTGTTCAGTTACTCTCTCGACCAAGGCATTTTGCCTGCTCCTCTCAGCAGGGTATTGGAGGATGTGGACTTTCAGTTCCTGCCACCAAAAGCAGGATGGAGACCTGTTATAACATCTCCGTCACCCTAACTTCAGTGACCCCAGGAGGAGCACATTGCCTGCCTGGTTTTGATATAATTTAAAAATATGAATATTCTTGTAGATCTGAGTCTAAGCTCATTTTGGATTTAATTATCTTTTTTACAATGAGACACAATGGCCATGAGGTGTTTTAAGAACAATATGCATGGTGCAAACTGCCCCAGGGAAGGGGCTGTCAAGGATCCCTAGGAGGGTGTAGGGGTGCCTGGGGCTGCAGACCTGCCCAACAGCACCAGCTGGAAAGGGCTGCTCAGTTAGGAAGCATTGACAGTGGCTCAAAATGGGGCTCAGAGGATGAGGAATGGAGGCAGAATCATGTAAAGATTTGTTGGAAGACATTTATACCTACTTAAAACATGGCTAGAAAAAATAGTTCAAAAATGGCTTTTAACTGATGTATGCCTAATCAAACTCTCCAGGACAGAAAGAGCAATAAAATAATAATAAAAAAATCCTTAATGTCTCTTACTGTCCTTCTGCAAACTGTTAGTAGTTGTGGGAAAATTTGCATGAACTGTTTGTGTGTGTGTTTGCAGGAAAGGGCTGCAGCAGTTATAGTGGACAGATAGTGGCAGTATAAACCAGCCTTCTGGACTAGTAAAGTCATTTCAGAAAGAAAGGCTCTTTCTACCTCTCTTTTGTATGACATTAGGTCCCAAAATGCTAACAGATTTGATCACTGATCCTAAGAGAGCAGGCAACTGAAATAAGAGGGAAAAAGGGAGTATTTTTGCTGACAAAGTAGCTGCAGTGCCCCATGTCGGGCAATCCTGAACCCAGTTCAGATCCTTCCTCTGCGCCATGAGGACCAGAGGAATTACAAAAGAGTGGTGTATTTGCAAGAAAGGCAGATCATAACATCTGAAGCTGCCCCAGGAAGAGTTACTGCTTTCTGAGGTTGGCCTAAGCCTCTGGCTGCCAGCACTGCTGCATCCAGAGCCTCAGAGACAATATTGCAGAGGACATAAGGGGATATAGGCACATGGATGTTGAGGCATTTCTTAGATCCTGGTGGAATCAGCCCCTTAAAACATCATGCAACTGTTTCCACATATGCCCAAATGTTAACAAATATGAGGAATTTAAAGTTACATGAGAAATTTAAAATAGTCAGACTGAGCTATCCATTCTGGTACTCCTGCTCTGGATGGAGATGACAGCAGTAGTCTGAGGCAAAAGCAGCAAAAGCAGCAAAGGCAAGGCAAAGGCAGGGCAATCTCTCTTCCCACTCAGCCTGCCAGCAGCTGGCAGTCTGCACTTATATCCAGCCCACATGGTTCATCAGTCCCAGAGAAAGAGTTGTGAAAGGCTATCTTAGAAAGTATAAAAACCCAAGAAAAGATACAGAGCAAGTTTATCAAAGAAATTGATTATTGCAAAGCACAAGAACACTCCCAGCACACAGATACATTAAGAAAACAAGGGAGAAAAATTAAAAAACAAAAAAACAACAAAACCTGCCACCAATACATGAAGTAGAAGCAAGAGAACATTCTCTTGAGAGACTATCAGTTTTAACATGGTGTCAGGCAGTTGAAAGTTTGCATGGTAAAGACGCATCAGTCTAAAAATGAAAGGAAAACACCTGGACAGTCTTAGGAGGGGTAGGAAAGATATGATATGTGTTAAGTGAAGAGATAGCAAGAATAAACTGTGGTTTCTTATTGGGAGTGTTGTGATAGGTGACATCACATGTGTCATGTGTCATTTAAACAAAAGAGTTTTGGCATTTAAGGAAGAACGCAGGGAGAAGATTCTTCTTATCTTCCCAGGCACAAACGCTGGATATATAAAAATATATTCATGTTGATCATCCAAACAGAAAATTCTGTCTCACTAAGGGCTTATGCACACATGGAGTGCTGTGGAAGCAGCTGCTTCTG